GTGTCTGTGTCTTATCTATGGTTTGTATCTGGAACTATTGTAATGAACTTAGATCTATCTTTTCTATGCTATCTGGAACTATTGTAATGAACTACTGTAATGAACTCGGTTCTATCCTTCTACCTTACTTCATGAGTCTATGTGTGTGCAACCTGAACTATTGTAATGAACTTGGATCTGTGTTAATCACTGAATGACATGTGTTAATCACTGAATGACATGTGTTGTATGGATCACTGGTTACACATATAAAAGGATTCATACATGGTCCTGAGCATTTCACTGGTTATACATATAAAATTTGACAAAGCTCACTGGTTACACATATAAAAGGATTCATGCAACCACATTTCACTAAAACATTAGGAAATGAGCATTAACCTGATACTCATACATGGTCCTGAGCATTATGCTCATGCATTAAGCTGATACACAACCCATAATAGAACCTGAACAGGTTTTCAGTACCAACATGGATCCTACTAACTACAACTACAACTACACCAAGGCTAACACCACATTGACTTACATGATCCAAGCCATCCAGGAAGCATACACTAATCCTACACACACAAATAGAGCACCAAACAAGAACTTCCTCTCCTTCTCCAATGTCCCTATCCTCACCTCTAACTCAACTCTAGATTCAGCTCCCAACCGCAATTCAGCTTTTGCATAATGGCCACATCTCTCTCGGCTGCAACAAACATGGCCCCTCTGTCTTCATTGTACTGACAAATACCTTCAACTCAAGTCTGCGAGTCTTTGATTCTCCCTTGTTGTGCCTTCCAGCTGAAGTTGCAGTCCTTGATTCTCCCTTGTTGCACCTTCCAAGAGTCTTGCAGTCTCCATTCTTGCATCTTCCAAACTCTGTTCAGCTACTCCAGTTGCACGCTTCTAGTACTTCACTGCATCTCGCAAATCAAGCAGAAGTTGCTTCTTGAAACTACTGTTTGGCGGATCCACCCAATTATAAAAGTCGCAACCACCGTCCTATGAAACAAACCAATAACCAACAAATCAGAGACACACTCAATCACTGATGCATCTACATACTATGAATCATGAAGAGAACAACTTACACGAGCCCGTGCACACTTTAGATACCACAATCCTGGGTTCAAATCACTTCAAGATATAAACCTAGCAGCTTTTGCACCGCATTTGCATAGCACAGCTAGGGTATACTCCAGTGGTCCTTCACGATAGGGGATGGGTGAGGACGAATCGCCATGGGAATCGCCATGGCGATGCCATCGCGACTCTTGTGTCCCCATACTTTGGCTGGACCCGCTTGAGGTCGCCATGGCGGCGGAGGACTCCCAGCCGGAGGGGAGACTACGGACGCGGAGGCACCGGAGGAGAGGATGTGGTAGCGGCTACGGCGATGGAGGCGGCGGCGGCGTCTAGGGTTCGGGGGAGAGGAACTGAGAGGGAGAGACAGAGTTGAGCGGGCTGGCTCGTGTTTTGACCCAAGGTGATCCTATGTGTCCGTCCGCTTGCCAACAGGCTAGTCAAAACCGAACACGTCGGCAAGAAACCGCCTCAATCGCGCCGAGGGGCTTAAACTGAACGGGTTTGAAAGTTTCGGTGCCCAGACCAGACGGTTTTATACTTGGGGGTTAAAATTAGACCGACATAAGAGTTGAGGGGCCTAAAGTGAACTTAATATAGGCCTTGTTTAGATAGCCTCAAAATTCCAAGTTTTTTCACTCTCTCTCCATCACATCAATTTTTAGCCGTTTGCATGGAGCATTAAATGTAGGTAAAAAAAATAACTAATTGCACAATTTAGTTGGAAATCACGAGATGAATCTTTTGAGCTTAGTTGGTCCATAATTGGACAATATTTACCAAATAAGACGAAAATGCTACTATTTATCGGGTTGAAATTTTTTGCAATCTAAACATGACCCTATTACATTTTTATAAAAATATAGATGTAATTTCTCACTGACCTTAGAATTACATCTTGGGACGGAGAGGGAGCAGTAGGAGTACAGGTCGGCAGCTACATGGATTACTTAAGCCAGCGTTATTGCGTGATGGCACTAGTACGGTGTAGTACTGGTGGGCGGGCCGTGGCAGGCGCAGCAGCATGTGCGATATGAATGCGTTTCGTACTTGCGTGCGCCGGAGTCCTCCCATGGAGGCCAAAGTTTTTTTTTCTTTGTTTTGGAATAAAAAAAAGCGAGGCCAAATTCTGACGTGATGGCATGCGTGCATGCACGGGCAGCACGGCTCTGCAGCTTTCTGCCTGCTCAAAAGCTAGCAATTCTTCGGGTCATCACGGCGAAGTGCACCGCCAAGAAACTGGCTAGGGCGCAGAACGACGTACTGCTGAAGATCTCGCTTAGAACCTAGCGGTCACCGTGGTTACAGCCCTCAACCTCAGCAAGCCCAGCCACGTAATTAATAGACACGTAAATTATTAATATTATTATATAAAAAACTATCTATTCTTAATTACTGCATATATATATATATAGAGAGAGAGCGAGTGTAATAACAGACACGTATATGTGTAGTTTCAGTCTAAATGGTGAATTAAACAAAAAATCTTTTAAATGGCTGGAGTACTAAAAAATAGTTGAGTAAAATGCATAATTAGTACATAAACTTGGCACGTGGGTGCGCTTAGGTACATCATCTATCTAAATGTACATATGAATTCAATAACTTGGCACGTGGGCTCATGAACGTGCATGAGAGGTGTGGTAGGCTATGGTAATTATCAGATAGCCCCTTAGTCCTTAATTTTCTCATTATTTAATCCTCCCAACTTTTGCACAAATAATAGACGGAGAGGGTTTTGGCAGAGGAGAACGACAAACTCCTACGACAACCGCACGGCCGCCAACGAGTGATCAGACGTATCCCTAGAGCAATGGGTCCAAGGCGACCGGAACTTGGTGATCAGACTCAGATTATAGTGCGTACCAATCTGTACCTGCTTTAGGAGATTTCTTTTAGTGTTCATGATCAAGAGATATTAGATTGGTTTAGTGGTTGTGTGTTTTTTTTCGCGACTGGTTTTAGAGCTCGTGTATGAGGCCAATTTTGCAGGTCCAATACTGAACATGTTTGTCGGTGTTTTTTACCGGTAGATATTTGGTTCTTGGGGAACCCCGCTTGGTGCGAAGAACAATCACAGATGGAGGTGAGATTTATACTAGTTCAGGCCTCCGGGAAACGAGTAAAAACCTTACGTCCAGTTGCTACTATTGTATTGCTCGTATTCGGCGAGATTGCTGTTACAATGTAGCTATGCCTATGAAAGAGTCGATGATTACAACAAGGGATATTGCTAGCTATCTATATCCAGGATCAACTTGCCCTACAAGCTAAGGAGTCATGCCCTAGTCAAAGTCGTAGCGCCATCCGGAGATATCCTTTCTTAAATAGGGTCGTTGTGGACCTTCGAGTCGTATCTGATCCGGAGTCCGTAGTTGGCAATGTGGAAGTCGGGTACCGGGGGTATGACATCGACATAAGCCCCCAGCTTTGTCTGTCAAACGCAACTCGGTCGTCTACGAGTAGTCGAGATAGTCTTAGTCGGGTGGTTCGTAGTTCGGGGTATCAAGAGCTAGCCCGGGTTATCAATAGCGACTTAACTCTCGATCCCGTGCAAGCCGATAAAGGTGCGCTGTTTGGGAGATGATCTTGTTCCAGTGGCATCCCCGAGTCGTCTTGTCAATCCCGTTTCACACGCAAGCGCACAAGATCGGACGGCTCGGGTCATTCGGCCCTGCTCCGGTGGGTCAGCCCCAGAACCCGTTTCGGTTATTCGCACTTGGGCCTTGTTTAGTTTACATCAAAATTCCAAGTTTTTTCACTCTCTCTCCATCACATCAATTTTTAGCCGCTTGCATGGAGCATTAAATGTAGGTAAAAAAAATAACTAATTGCACAGTTTAGTTGGAAATCACGAGATGAATCTTTTGAACTTAGTTGGTCCACGATTGGACAATATTTACCAAATAAGACGAAAGTGCTACTATTCATCGGGTTGAAAAAATCTTCAATCTAAACAAGGCCTTGGCTAGCTCCAAAGTCCCAATTCCAGCGAACTTGATGTACGTACGTACGGCCTCTGCTGGTCGGTGCTATTATTGGAGGTCACCCAAACTTATCGGAATTCGTAAAATAAAATTGAAACGAGGAAGTACTTACAGTATGCAGTGGTGGCGTATGGTACAGGGAACAAGGGATCGAGCGTGTGTTGGAGTCGCTGGCCACGCGATGCACGGAAGCTTGGTCGCGCGGAGAAAGGTTTCGTATCGTGCAGAGAAATGCCGCGCGTTTAAGCTGCCCCACTCACAACAATCGCATGGCATGCATGACATGCTCCCACGATGTAAAGCGCAGGCAGCTACTACCATCCACACGTACCGTGTTGCTGCGCTTGTTTTTGTTGCACATTCTCCACCCATTCTATTCTACGTATAGAACACTGTTTTGTTTTGTGTTCCTTTCTTTTCTCTTGAAAAAAAAACAACTATTGTTTTTTTAGCAAAACAAATCAACTATATTGTTATTAACACGACAGGGCTACATCAACAGTATATGGGCCTGTAAATCACAGCAATCGTTACATTTACTAGCACACGCAGCAACTAGAGCCGGCCGCGGCCCGTCTTCTGATGGGCCTTACACGTACAGTCCACCGTACACTCGGGATGGGCCCTACGGCCCCTCTTCGACAGTTCGACGAGATACCCCCCACATCCCTCTTTCAATGCTCTCATCACTCCCGCACGGCCCCACCGCCCAACCGCCTGCCTGTGCGGCGGGGCCCGCCTCCGGCCTCGTGGACCTTGCCGCCCGTCGATACTCCCGATGCCCGCGGCCGCATCGCCACCCCGCCGTGTATAAAGCGCTCGCTCCGGCCAGGCCACTCTGCTCCAACTCCAACCTACCCAGCAGCGGCCAGCCACCTCCCCGTCGCTCTCACGCTCTTCGTGCCCGCCGCCTCCCCTCTTCGTGCCCGTCTGACGAACATGGCCTCCATCGCCGGATCTTCCGCCCTCTCCTTCGCCAGGCCCGTCAAGGTAATTATGCTCAGATCCGAGGCCGCCAGCGCCACCTACTGCTGTTCGTTGTCCGCCCGTCTGTCTCTCTAGATCCTGCCTGCCTACCGCGTCCTGCGCAGGGTTTGGGGGGTTTAGTAAGGTTTCCTGCCTCTGATGCGTGCGCGTGATCTAGAGAGACCCTCGTCCCTCGGCGTGATTTGCACTCGTGGTGAACTGAAGAACTGGTGACTCACCACTGCGAGAGCATGTGTTGGATTAACGGCTGGGTGAAGCCTTTTTTTTTCGTTTTATGGGGAAAGCTGACCTTTATGGGTGTCCATGGCTTCACTGAGCCGTTTCTAAAGGGGATTTATGCAGATCTGCTCATGCAAAGTTGATGATCTTTCACAAATGGGTTCCGTGATGGGATCACTAAGAATTTTCTTTGCACGTACACGATGAATTTTTCATTTATTTATGTAACCATACTTTGGTCTTACAGGCTTAGGTCATGAACATAATGGTTGATGCGTGTTCAATTGATATACTGCACATAATAGTACATCTTTGATTTTCACTCAATAATATTTCTAATAGAATTATTTATTCCTGATGGGTGTTCAATTGAAGGGGATAGAGTTGCAATCCTAGTTCTATGTTTCATAGCCTTGATTTTGGTCACACGACAGGTCAAATATTTTGATCCTTCTTCATGCTCCTTAATTAACTGTACTCCCTTGAATTGCAGGCAATCAACACAAATTCTCTAGCTTTCTCCCCAGTGAGGAAGGGTAACACATTCCTCCACCTGCAACCAGTGCCTATGAGATCTGTTTCCTGCGCTGTGAGTTTCATACTTACCTTTCAATACACAAGTACATTGGGCTACGTTTTTTATCCTAACAAAGCTAGTGATTTTTCTGAGTTATTGCTTGTGTGCATTATTATGACAAATCTATTACAAAGCTATTGATTTCCTAATCTACCGCGTCTGTGGATCTCAACTGAACTACTAGTAATCTATACTAATGGTCAGGAATCACCAAAGTTCCATATTGTTAGAAGGGCTCTGTTTTCTTTCCTTACCTTTTGTAGTTTTGTTCTGGAAATCAAGGAAAAAATTGTTTCTACTTATACTTGCTCCTAGTGTTGTTGTAGTGCTCTTGATCTAGCAAGATACCAATACTTCCAGTGACACCTTTTTAAATATATATTCTCTTATACTGCAAACGTAATGACATTTCAAAATATGGATTGTGACAGGCCAAGAAGGATACAGTGGACAAGGTTTGTGAAATTGTGAAGAAGCAGCTTGCTCTTCCTGACCACACTGAAGTTTGTGGTGAATCCAAATTCTCTGAACTTGGCGCAGATTCACTGGACACGGTAAATCACAATATTTCTTGCTGATGCCATCTATATAGTCACTTTTTAAATGATTTTGTGATGGAAATGTATGGTTGTTAAATCCGTCAATAAACTTAGCCTAATGCAACTACATTGCCCCATTTTTTCTTTTTCCTGAATAATTAGATAGACTGCAAACTGTATGTAACCTATGACCTATCCACTTCGTACTTAGGAGTTAGGAACTTTGATATAACCACTGTACTCCATACTTACTCCTTCAGGACATTGTCAGTCGTCTGTAATTTGTATTCCCTATAAGGACCAAAGAAGCTCTTCGAAAGAATGTTATGCCTAGTATCACAGATAATGCTTACTCCCTCCCTCCCTCATCTCTGACAACAACAAAAAAACATGAAAATATATTTCATGTATCTAACTATACTAATTTTGTGGCATAAATAGCAGACTTTTTTCTATCAAATTCAGCCAAACTTAATTAAAAAAATAGACTTAGGACAACTCTAGAAATGGATTTATTCAGGCCGGAGGGAGGGGATCTAATTTGATAGACGAATGCTTGCTCTTTTGGATATTTTTTTCCTCAAGATTTTACTTAAGGTCCTTCCAAATTTGTCACAGGTTGAGATTGTGATGGGCCTTGAGGAGCACTTCGATATCAGCGTGGAGGAGTCCAGCGCGCAGACGATCGCAACCGTTGAAGACGCTGCTGACCTCATCGACAAGCTTGTTGCTGGGAAGGCATAGATCTGTATCTCCTCTATCATTGGCCTACCACTCTATGTCTCTCCCTTGATCTAGGTTTCTATGGTCTGAAGACTGTGATTTTCTCCGCACTTCTGTTGCTATGCCCGTGTGGTAATAATACGAGATGTTTTATTATGCGGTTGAACATTACGGTGGTGTAATCTGTTACTGCTAAGGTGCATTGTTTGAATTGTTTCTCCCCCAGAAGAAGAATCAAACCATCCGGGATTCTAGGATCATACTACAATTATTACTTGAAATGATGAGCAACGCCGAACCTTTTTATACAGGCCGACTACATGTCTTTTTAGATGGAAACACAGTTCCATTAATCAACAAGCACCGGCCAAAATCATTGGTCACATACTTACACGAGGAACAACAAAGTCGGGGGCAATACAGTCCGAAAGAGAGTTGCAACTTCTGGGACATTTATACTGAGAACAAAACTTGCAAAATCGGAAGGCATTCTACTCTTAATCTCCCTAAACAATGGCCCCAATTTAGCTCTGTTATGGAGGAAAACAATGTGAGCGCCGAGCAGCAGATTCTGTGCATCAGTTTCTCAGTCATCACCCAGATTCTATGCACCAGTTAATTATCACCCGTTACATACCCAGGGTCCAGGAAGGTTGTCAGTTCGAGTCCTTTCAGCAGAGCCAAGCCTTGAGCATGAAGGGCATTGGATAACTTGTTCAGCGCCCCAGTTTGTGCCGCAAAAAAAAAAAAAAAAAAAAAAAAAAAAATCATTCCACCTGTCATGCTAGATTGGAAAAAGGCTTTGTTTGTACACACCCTCTAGTGGTGGCTTCCTTTTGTGTTTCTGATGAAATATACTACTTCCGTCAAAAAAAAACCAAGAAAGATGCAATTTTATGACTTCAATAGGTATACTGTGAAAATAGATATTTCATAATTTATCGAACTTCCTTCGTAAAAAGTCAAACATACTGCGATATTTCTGCTTAATCAAATCCTAAAACTTTTGCTAAAAGGCTGGCTCCATAGCCATTAGGACCTAGTGCAACGTCACTTTTCATTCCAAAGACAACTTGCTTAGTCTCCTCTTCCTAAGAAGATTTAATCAAATCAGTGTCATCTTGCTTAAGTTTTTAAATCCTTCCCAAATGACTATGTAAGTTGAATATTCCTTGTTTCAGAGCCTCCAAACAATTGCTTATAGTATTGAACCACATGATTCATGATTTCCTTTTAATCGGTAATTTGACATGTTTAGTGTCAAGATGGATCACCGTTCCTTTCCTTCTTCCATTGGCATGTTGATGGAAATCTTGAATTTGGGTCCCCTAAAGTTAGCCAACATTTGCGTGTCCCTGGTCTCCAAAGATAGGCTCGGAGTCCCTCAAAGATTGGTTTTCTTTTGCTTTGTAGGTATGACATGGGCAATATGGAAGAACCGTGACGAAATGGCGATTGAGAAGAAGTCTATTAGCAATCTAGATGTTGTGATTTATGCTAGTATATCAGTTTCATGCAAATATGGATAGAGTTGCTCAAGGAGGAAAGCAAAACCAATATGAAGATTGTGGTTCACCACTTAATTGAATGGATGGGCAAGAAGGAGGCTTTAAAGGAGCAAAATAGTCCTTTTGTAGTTTTGTTCTTGGTCAAGGCTAGCTATCCTTTGTTGTTGGTTGAGGCTAAATACTCCTTTTGTACTGTAATGTAGCTAGTTTCCCCAGCTTGTAAGACTTTTAACTAGCTTTCTCAAAAGCAGAGACATTCTCCTTTCAAAAAACAAGTATTGTGTGTTTTGACTACTACTGTGCTTTTATGGGATCTATGTACTAATACTTGACAATGAGCTTCAACTCCCTTGCAAAGGCCAGAACTCGGTTATTCCAAGCGTAAATGTGGTGGATCAAAATGCTTGTTCCTACAAGTGTCATTATGATAGTTCAGAATCCTACAGCCGCTGTATCCGTGGTCTGTTATATTTGTAATGGGTATTCAAGGAATCCTTGTGAGTTGTCAGGCTGAACTTGTAGAAACAGTGCGTGAAGGAATTTGTATTCCTGGAACTGGCCTATGTGTGCTATGCTACCCTTTTATCTGTACTAATGGGAATTCGAATTTATTATACATCCTTCTAAAATGCTCACGAAAGGTTATATAACAAATGTGTTAAGTCTAAGCATAAAGGAACCATCCATAGTGTTAAGCTTCATCTACTCACGAATTGTTTTTATGTAATTAATATATTACAATCTTTGTTCGTGATTCTTATGTCTCGTAAGGATCATGGTGATCCTAGCAAGCCTTAGCTTAGTGAAAAACGTGCTTAGACACGTCACGGGGAAAACAAAAAAAAAAAAATCATACTTGTGTGTCATTTTCTTTCAGGTAACAAAATCATGGTCTATGCAAAAGATCCCGCTAAAAAAACTACATAACTCTCATGTGTCTCTGAGAAAAAAGGAAAGAATAAAAGGTATAATGTATTGGAATTTGACAAGCTGACGAGCTTGAATTTTCCAATTAAGTAGTTGGATTCCACGATCCCACAAACTGAGCCTAACAGATGTGTCACATAATTTAATATATTCCGAGAGAACGTCAACCAGTTCCTATGCCATCAACCACTGAGAGCAAGTATAATAATTATTTTATAGCTAAGCTAGTCAACCATTTTGTTGATGCGGAGGAGAGAACGAAGAAGAGATGGGAGAGTTTGATTCTCATGCAAATAACAAGATGAGCACAAAAGACTATACAATAGTGGATCCAGATAATAATTGTATGTGAGGCGAAATAGGAAATAGAATGTAAGACATGATGATGGAAAAATACTCCCTCCATTTTTTTTTATATGTCATATTAGGTTTGTCCTAAATTAAACATTTGTATCTTTATTCATTGATTTTTTTTTAAAAAAAAATTATGTAGGTTCATGACATAACATTTATGTTTTTAGATTTATTATGAAAAAATACTTTCATAATATATAATTCATATGTTGTAGAATAATAAGAACTTTTTGAAGTGAATAGCTAAAGATAATAATGTCCGACTTAGCTTAATATGACGTGTAAAAAATAGAGGAAGTAGAAGAAAACTATTGTATAGTTTGACTCTAATAACTTGATTTATAGCCATGTATTTAGCCCTATTAATAAGCTTGCTCTAATGCTCAACGGCCTTTGGATGTATTCCGTGCAAGTGATTAGCAAACTTAGACTACGTGATTTTTTCCGAGTACCCTACAAATAAGAAGACTGTTGGTAGAAATGTACAGATTATCCGCGATTAGAAAATTAAAAACACACAAGATAGATTGATTGCGGATCAAATCCATGAATTACGACCCAATACCACGCCACGCCATTTCCATCAAGCACTCGCAGTTGCAGCTAATCCTCGCGCACAAATAGGTGGGGTCCAAAGTCGCAGGGCGCAGGCCCTAAAAAGTTCGCACATAGGACTAAAGGAGTATCGAAGAAACAAACAGCAAGCAGTTGTGGACTTGTGGTCTTGCTGACTACTTATGGATAAATAAACTCCAATTGCAAATATTAACACATAGGGCGTTTGGTCTAGTGGTATGATTCTCGCTTTGGGTGCGAGAGGTCGCGAGTTCGATTCTCGCAACGCCCCACTCCTCTTTTGTTTTAATTGATTTTTTTTAAATTTCAATCATTATTAATCAAGCGACCGGCGTATAGACCCGACAGAACGTAACGTTGCCGTGGCGTTTCAAATATTGTTTTCTAGCTTTTTCTGAACCATCACTAGCAAAATGTCTTTAATTGATTTTTAGTTTTTTTATTTGAATCATTATTATTAATCAAGCGACCCAGCGTATACGCACGTGAGAACGTGACCTTCCCGGGGGTTTTTTTTTTGCGTTTCTCTGCTTCTACTTTTCAAATATTCAGCGCGTTCGGCTGGTGCATTGAATAGTAGATTTTGGATGGTTCTGGATGATTCAATAGTGTTCTGTGAGAGAGAATAAGCTGAAACAATCTGGGAGTATACCAGCCGAACAAGCTTTGTTTTTTAGTTTTTCTTGCATCACTAGCAAATATATATGTGTATTATAACGGAACATACAACTTATTACGCAGAAACTTGAATGCCTTGTGGCTCTGAGATTGATACAACAATTTTGTCATATGTTCTAACACAGTCGGTTGAATGACTTGTGGCTCTAAGATTTATACAACAATTATGTCATATACTCATATATTCTAACGCGTTTTGGAACCAGACTCTGTGCCATGGCTAGATACGTGCTATTTGAAACATGGTCTTGCATTAAATTTGGATTGTGCTAGTTTTGGATCGGAAACATGATCCTATATTAAATTTGGATTAGAAATGTGTGAATGGCAAGAGCGAAAGACGGACAGGGGATACTGTCATACTAGAGTGCGGTGAGAAACTAGCAGTGAGAAATGATGACGGGCGAAGCAAACATACAGCCTGTGCTCGTAAATGATCGTAAATTTCTAGCCAAGAATAGTGTTTTTCTCTCACACCAAACCAGCTAACAGTAAATAATCCATGATACGATACGGCCTCCCGAACATGCTGATAGCAGTGTGTTGCAATAGGAGAAAGAAATGCCATGAAAAAACAAAAAGGAGATGCTCGCCCCCTACATATGTGTTATGTTTTTTCATTTCTATAAACTTTAAGAGATAAAATTTACTCATTAATTTTCCATATGCGTTTTTAATAATGAATATGAATCTTTACTTTAAGTCAATGTTGGCAATGATATTATAATGTCCTATTAAGTTTGTGTAAAATAGAAACATATTCTTAAGTTTTTTTTCTTCTATTGCAAAGCACGGACATAATCATAACTTTAACTCCCATAATATCCATGAGTTGATATAGTTAAATATCAAGTTCCATGACTTCCTTTGAGAATTCATAAAAGCCTGTAATTCTAAAGTTTAATCTAAGTCGGTGAGAAGTTCATTGTAGATGCGTTAGGGACTGGTTTGTTCACTAATATTTATAATGAGACCTAT